TGATCTGCCTGTTCTGCTCCCCACTCTGTCTCTGGTGAAGTCTCTCACCCTCCGCATATCTGGCCTGTACCCCAGTTCTGTATGAGTAAATAAATAAATCTTTACAAAAATTCAAATGGAGCCCTCCCAGGTGGCACAACGAGTTAAAGCACAACACTAAGAAGCTAAAGACACAATATGAGTTCGATCCCCACCTGCCCCGGAGGAGAGCCACATGGCGCAACAGAGCTCTCCTGACCACCCGCTGCTCCCCTCAGCAGTGTACTTCCTCGATCTGCCTATTCTGCTCCCCACTCTGTCTCTGGTGAATCCTCTCACGGCCCCTGCACCTCTAGGCCTGTACCCAGTTCTGTATGAATAAATAAATAAATATTTAAATATATTAAAAAAATTTTTCAAATGTGGGAACAGTAGTAAATAGATAAATTGTTGGGTATCACACAGTGGAAGACTACACAGCAATGAAAATGAGCAAAGCGCAGGTTATCATCAGCAGTACAGGCAACCCTCACATGCTAAGGATGATGAATTCATTGAAATAAAGTTGTTATAAAAAAGCAAAACAGATATTTGGGTAATAAAACGATATTGAAGGGCAGGGGAATGATAAAGGCAGGGTTAGGAGTTATAAAGGGAGACTTCTAGAATGGTAGTACCATTCTGTATCCTTTGATCTGAGGATGGAAATATAGGTCTTAAATTTGCATCTATAATATATCAATAAATACTTTCCATATGTGTTAATTGTTCAGAGAAATTATTTTTAAAACTGAAATGATATTGGGAAGGAAGTATCTGGTTCAGAAAAAAAATCTAGTTTCATTTATTGGGTTACTTTCCTCCCCCCCCCCAATATTACTTACTAAATCATCTAAACTATCCCTCCTAGGGGTGGGGCACTTTTAAGTATATTTAAGTATATTTTGTTAACGTCTAACTTAAATGCATGGGGTCTGTAAGTTATATTATTTAGCACCTGTTGAAGCTTTTTTATGGCCTAGTACATGATTAAAAGTACATGTGGGCTTAAGAAAAATGTGGGTATACTCCACTTGGATATGGAACTGAAGTTTAAATCTTATACATTCTTGTTGACTTTAATCTTGCTTTAGTTTTGGTCTACTTGACCTATCAAGAGTTGAAAGAAGCAGCATTAGAAAACACCCCTTAGATTTTAGTTCACCAGTTCTGAGGGTTTGCAGAGGTTATGAGCAACTGTCATCGTTACTCCCCCTTACCCCTTCCACCCACCATTTTCTTCAGCACTTCCTTCACTAGTGTAGGATTTACTCCCATAGACTTTTGCCCAGATGTGTGAGTCCCAGGAGATGTATGGTAAGCACAGTTGTCTCAAGATTTTGGAGGAAGAAGAAACAAGAGCAGAAATCCCAGTGGTTTCTTTTTGGTTTTGTCCTCCTTCACCCTACCACAAGGGATTTTCGTTTCCCCTTTGCTTGTTTTCCTTGCTTGGTCCCTTTGAGGTTGATCTTGGGCAATGGGGAGCTGACAACTTGGTAGAGACCAAACCAGAATACTATCCCTTTATATATGTGAACCACCTGTAAAATCCTAGAAATGAAATTTTGAAATTGCTTCAACATTTCTTCCCACATGAAACCTATGTTGCCTCCTGTATTTTCCCTTTTTGTGTCTAGCGCTGTCAAAACCTAATCGCATAAACAAACTTATGGGTGCAGGTAATAGAAAATTATAGGGACCTTAACACAAAGTAAGGGTTTTCTTTTTTGCTGCTTTTATTTCATCAGTGTGTGTACATGTGTAAGTATTCATAAGTAGGTGTGCTGAGTGTTCTGAAGAAGGTGGATTGTGGTTAAGAAAAAAAGTTGAGAAATTGGGCACTCCATGGTGGCGCAACGGGTTAAAGCACCGCATTATGAAGCTCTCTGAAGCCATTGCAGCATGAGTTCAGTCCCTAGCCAGGTAGCTGACCGCATGGTGTGGCAGACCTCTCCTGACCCACCTGCTGCTGCCCTCAGCAGTGTATTTCAGTAGACCTGCCTGTTCTGCTCCCCACTTTGTCTCTGGTGACTCCTCTAACCTACCACACCTCTGGCCCGTACCCTAGCTCTGTAAGCATAAATAAATAAATCTTTAAAAAAAAAAAGAAGAAGAAGAAGAAGTTGAGAAACACTGAACTAGAGGATTAGGAATCATTTTTAACCCTTACCCCCTACACCCATTCAGTGATCAAATTTGCTGAGTCTGTTTCTTCAATATTTCTCAAATTCATCCCATCCTCCACTTCTCTGTTAATCACTGCTGTAGCTCCTGGCCTTTCTGGATGACTGTACTAGCATCTCAGACCCATGCTCCATATTTCCTTATCTTTATCAGAGTAATCTTCCTGAAATGTAAACATTAATTATTTAAATTCTTCTGTGACATCTTATTGCCCATGGGTAACTTCTGAGCTTAATAACATGGTGCTTGCCTACCTCTCTAGCTTTGTCTGCTCCTTTTCCAGTCTCATTGGTAACACCAAACCACTTTTAGATTTTTCTCATACTCCCTAAAGATTTTATGCTTTGTTTATTCTTTTTCTTTTGCCTGTGTGGGAATGTGGATTTTTTTTTTTTACTCCTATCTCTTTTACCTGGTGAACTCCAACTTATTCATTCTTACTTTGTACAGAAATTCTTACTCCTCCTCCTCCCCTGCACCAGCTGTCCCTCCACTGTGCTTGCAGAATATTCCTGGAATTTCTCATTACACAGACAGGCTGCTTTTAAATTGTCGGCTCAGCTCAGTGTTTACTTCTTTTATGGCAAGAGTCAGTTGGTTATATTCACTTCAGTGCCTAAAACAATGTCTGGCTCATATTGGGTGTTCAAATGTTGAATGACTGAAGATCCAGAGAGTTATATTACCTTTTTCAAGATGTAGCTGCTCAAAGATGACAAAAATGTGATTATAAAACGAGTGTCCCTTTTATTGCCTCATGTGACTGCCCATATTCCTCTAGTCTTTCAAGCAGAATAAGTATATTTATTGTACAATACTGCACATACCACTTTAAGCCTACCTGCTAATGATTAAGATGAGTAAGTTACCCTTTGAATTTTTACATACTGTAAAAATTATGTTTTTTACATACTGTAAAAAATACTGTTTCTAGTGCATGACACTATTCACAAACAGTTAAAACAGTGCAAGTAGATTCAAAAGTAATTTGCATACACCATAGTGGCCTCCTACTGACTGTATTTTGATAGGTCAGTTAAACATTTAAAAAATGTCAGATTCAAAACATATAGATTTAAAAAGATTTTTTGAGCTTAGTTTAGAATACCTAAGGATGTGCATTTCTCTTGATAACTAATGATGTTGAAATTTTTTTCACATGCCTGTTGGCCATTTCTTCTTTGGAGAAATATCTTTTTAATTCTTCTCATTTTTGATAACAAATGCTGGAGAGGATGTGGAGATAAAGGAGCCCTTACACTGCTGGTAGAATGCAGACTGGTCCAGCCACTATGGAAAACTGTGTGGCGGTTCCTCAGAACACTAAAAATGAATCTACCACATGATCCAGTGGTGCTACTCCCAGGAGTCTACCCAGAGGACACAAATTTGAAAGGAAGCCTGCACTCCTGCACTATTTAAAATAACCAAGATATGGAAACAAACCAGATACCCCAAAATAGACGAATAGGTCAAAAAGTTGTGGTTTTTACATAGTGGAATACTACTCAGTGATCAAAAAGACATACTCATGCCATTTGTGGCTATATGGATGGAGCTAGAAGGGATTATGCTAACTGAAATTAATCAGAAGCAAAAAGATAATTATCAGGTGGTCTCACTTATATGTGAAATTTAGAGAAACCAAACAAAAATGGTCAAGAAAAGTAAAAGCTAGCATCTGACCATACACCTGAGGCATACAGCAAAGTAGGGGGAGAATCAAAACAGGGGAAAGATGAACACAAGGAACTATGATGATTTAGGGGTGATAATGTGGTGGGAGAACTATGGGGACTACGATGATATAAGAAAAAAGTTGTAGTTAATGAAAAATAGAATACCTAAAGATGGAAGTGGTGAAACTTGAAAAATTACATTGTAGGATTAGCTCAGTAAATCTCTGAATCAAACTTGTAGATGCAGGGTCTAACATACTATGATTCTTATATATATTGCAGAAATCAATCAGGGTTTAGAAACAAAGATCCAAGCTTCCATTCATGGAAAGACAGGGAAATCTGAGTGTATTTCAAATTTCAGAAATTTTTAAAGAAAGAGAAGTAGTTTTAAAAATGAAACATCTGAAAAAGGAAAAAAAGGGTTAGTGCTAAAATATTCCTTAATCAATCTAGTATGCTCTGTATGTGTCTGTGAGAGAGAAGAAAGCAGAGCAGAGGTGAGGGGAATATGAGAGAGAGGAGAGGGAGAAGAGTAGAAGAAGAGAGGATGGTTTCCCAAAAACTGTTTTTATAGTTGATATGTTGTGTAGTACATAAACAGTATGCACATGTTGTATTGGGTTGATTTGCCTTGAGTCTTTTTTTTTTTTTAAAGATTTATTTATTTGTGCATACAGAACTGGGGTACAGGCCAGAGGCTCAGGGGCGGTGAGAGGCTTCACCAGAGACAGAGTGGGGAACAGAACAGGCAGAGCGACGAAGTACACTGCTGAGGGGAGCAGCGGGCGGGTCAGGAGAGGTCTGCCACACCATGTGGTCACCTCCGGGGCAGGCGGGAATTGAACTCATGCGGAAGCAGCTTTAGATTCTCAGTGCTGTGCTTTAACCCGCTGCGCCACCAGGGAGGGCCTGCCTTGAGTCTTTTTTAATGTTTAAGTTTTCTCTCCTTTTCTGTCCCCTCATGCCTTTTATTTATAGGGGGAAAATTACTTTTTGTGTGTGTTACAAAGTTAGTGAAAATAGGAATGTAAATTGCACACTAACACCCAGTAGGCTCTTAGTTAATATTTATTGAATAATGTTCATAATATTCAAGGGCTGTGTTTTGTCCTGCAGGTTGATCCAAAAGACTACATCTTCAATGGACTGAAGGATGAAACAGTAGGCCGCTTACCTGGAAAAGTGGCAGGACAACAGTTTCTCATTCAAGACTGTGAGAACTGTAACATCTATATTTTTGATCACTCTGCTACAGTTACTATCGATGACTGTACCAACTGTGTGATTTTCCTGGGACCTGTGAAAGGCAGCGTGTTTTTCCGGAATTGCAGAGATTGCAAGTGTGCACTGGCCTGCCAGCAGTTTCGTGTGCGAGACTGTAGAAAGCTGGAAGTCTTTTTGTGCTGTGCCACTCAACCCATTATTGAGTCTTCCACAAATATCAAGTTTGGCTGTTTCCAATGGTACTACCCTGAATTAGCGTTCCAGTTCAAAGATGCAGGGCTTAGTATCTTCAATAATACCTGGAGTAACATTCACGACTTTACACCTGTATCAGGAGAACTCAACTGGACTCTTCTTCCAGAAGATGCTGTGGTTCAGGACCATATTCCTCTGCCTACTACCGAAGAGCTCAAAGCTGTCCGCATTTCCACAGAAGCCAACAGAAGCATCGTTCCAGTGTCCCGGGGTCAGAGACAGAAAAGCAGTGATGAATCATGCTTAGTGGTATTATTTGCTGGTGATTATACTATTGCAAATGCCAGGAAACTAATTGATGAGGTAAGGAATGAGGGAAGAGAGACAGACATCTAGCTAGACACACCACTTCCCGGAGAACGTCTGTTCTTCTCAAATTGGCTCTGAAAAATACTGGCAATTATGACGTGGTAGTCCTCTGCCCATGCAGATTTATCTGTAATCTTGTTGCTTAGACCTCAGAATACTTTCCTTTTTAAAAAAAAAAAAACTTTAAAAAATGATTCAATTTAGCAAGCACTTATGTGTAAATTACTGTTACTGCATTTCATTAATTATAGGAAGAACATGTTTTCCACATTTTTGTTTATTTGTAAGCCATCTTAAAATTGATGGCAACTTAGAGCTGATGAAATAAGTGCTAGAGTAGAGATTTAAAGACAGAATTCTCTCTCAAAGGACTTCCATTCTTTACAATAATTGATTTCCATGGAAACTTTAGAAAGTCATACTGCATAATAAAGCATAATTATTTAGTGGAGAAATTTATTAGGCATATTAATTGGGTCAGGGGTGGGGAAGACATTTAGAAATGCAACTTTAGACCCTGTCGTGACTATGAGTCAACCTCCACATTCCATTTTTTTCCATTGCTCTATTGCCCAAAGAGGAGGTGGGTATGGAAGGGTGAGGTGGGAGCTGGCATAGCAGCAGTGTTGGGCTCAGGAGCGGGACTTGTTACTGAACTTCTGAATAACGAAGAGTTCTTTGCCTACCACCCTCCACTTGAGAAATGACTGAGGATGTACACATTAGGGCTCTAGAAGCAGCAGTTCCTGTATTGTGGGCTTGCCAGTGAGGAGGCAGCAAGCAGTAGTATGTACTGATTATCCATAAGTCAGATATTCTTCAGAAGGAGTCTGTTTGAAGTTAAAAATCAGTTGCCAGAAATGGAAAAGTGAATGAAAAACTCATCAAGTCTCTTTTCAAATGGATTTTTTCAAGTTGGCACAGTTTTGTCAAGAGGAATAATTTTAGGATGAAAACTGTAACTGACTACCTCTGCAACTGTGGACATTTTACAATACAGAAAACCAGTCTCTGAAACCTACCAAGTATATAGCTGCAGTCTAGTTCTCAAAACAGAAGCCAAAACATAATTTTTAAGGCTTTCATGCTTTCCTTTTTAATTATGCCAGTTCGACTGGAAAAAAATGCTATGAATCTGGTATGATACAGAGCAAGTGCTGCTGGTCTTGGAGCTATCTCATAACAAATCAATCCAACATCTAGATAGATATTTTCACTATACTGTACAGTGATATTTAAAAAAAAATCTACATATCATTTTTCAAATGTTGTATTCAGATTAAACTCCTTTTGGGTAGGTATTAAGGAGTGGACATAACGAATACATGACATTTAAAGAAGAAAACCATCAAAACAAATACTATCTTTTACCACAAGGCATTAGCTATTTTAACCTCTGGTTTCTGATATGTGAAATGGGAGTATAGTGTGCCCTTGAAAGACTATGACCAGGAACAGTGATAGTCTTTCGAAGCCCTTCTGGACTCTAAAATTTAAAACAAAATCCCACAACAGCAGCAACAATAATCTTAGCTAGCACTTATATAGTCTTTTCCATCTATCAGGCACTGTTTTAAGGGATTTATATGAATTAACTAAATTCAGAATAACCTACAAAAGAGGTCCAGTACTTTCCTTTTTACAGATAAGGAAAATGAGCCACAGAAAGGAGAAGGAACTTGCAAAAAGTTCACTGAGCTGGTAATCAGCAGAGCCATGATCTAAATCCAGGTAACCTGAATTTGGAAGCCAGTGTAGGCTTAGATGTTACTGTACTATCTCAGTGGTAAAGGAAACTCGATGAACGCCTGGTACAGCAGGTATGTGACCAAAAAGCTCGTGCAGCTGAGACAAATGTTACCCTCCAGCCTAGAAGGAAACCCTGAGACTTTTTGGCTAGAGGTATTCTATTTAATTCTGAAAGTACAGAGTTAAGGACTGAAAAGAGAAAAAAAATACAAAATGCCAAGTACATATGAAGACGGTATATCAAAATGTCTGAAAGGCCAATTACTTACCTATTAAGAGATTACATATTTTTTTAAATGAATCTTGAATTCCTAAGAAAATGCATGTTAGAAGCTCATTAATTCTGAGCTGAAAAAAATGTAAACCTTGAGTTGATGTCATACATGAACAGCTTAGAGAGGAGCTTCTGTTAAACACTAGGAAATGGGAGTGCAAGAGCTCATTTGTCATTGCTTTATAAATTAAACATATGTTTTTTGAGGTAGGAAGTGTAAGACGGGAACATAGGAAGTCCTGAAAAGCTGAAAAGAAGCAGAAAATACACTATGTAGGGAGTCGGAAGAAGTTATACTGGACCTGAGTTTTCTCACCTAAAATTCAAATCTCTTCCTCTTACCTGCATCATGGTTATGGCAGGATCAATTCAAGTCAAAGTAATTTGAATTATGTAAAAGTAAAATACTGCATATGTTCAAGTCTTTAAAACTAGAATTTTCATGAGAAAAGTCTGCAAATGTCTGTAGTGAAATACCAAATTAGACATAGGTTCATAGTTCATTGGTTTTTGATAAGAGTATTTTGAATTAATCATCTTTTGTCGAGTTATGTGTCTGACTATAAAATGAGGTGATGAACAGCTTAGAAAATTAGAAGCAAATGTAGAATTGTTTCTGATGCTTTGAGTAACTTTGCACTCATCATCTGGCAGTGATGTCCACATAATTTCCTGCTAGTTTATGTCTTTTTTCTTTTCTGAGGCAGCATTGAGAGTTCTGAAATAGGATTTGAGTTTGAATCCAATTTGATGGGATAGTATGGAAGTGGCTTAATGCCTTTGCATTTTTTAAAATTACTTCCATGATTATTTAAAAATTTAGTATGCATTCATTGTAGATTACTGTAGAAATAAGTTTTCATATCATCAGTAATGTACTTTACCTTGAATACTCTTTTTCAGAATTTTTTTTTAATTTATTTGGTCTGTAATCAGGTTAGTTGGGTTTGAATTCCGGCTCTATTATTTAACTGTTATGTGACCTTGGGCAAGTGTCTTAAGTACTTTGTCTTAGTCTTCTCATCTGTAAAAAGAATAATATTAGTAACTACCTCGTGAAGGGGTTAAGTGGTTTATACATGTAAAGTACATTTAACTGCTTGGCACATAATGAGCACCCCATAACTGTCATAGATTATTGTGTTAAGCTATGAAAATTTGTATCATGCTTTTAAAATTAACATTATTATATAAATATTTTCCCATTTTATTACAACATCTTTGTTCTGTTTAGTGAACTGTGGTATTTCATCATGTGAATATACAATTATTTACTTCACTATTTTCCTCTCATTGGATAGCAGCAAACTAAAGCTTGCATCTGTTAGTTTTGGTCAAAAAAATGTAATTGTATTACATTTTGAGGGATAATTCACACTTATTTGACCCTTAGTCTCAACAGTAAGTATTACAGTACTAATTCTTTTTTTTAAAGATTTGTTTATTTATGCATAAATAAATAACTGGGGTACAAGCCAGAGGTACAGGGGTAGTGAGAGGCTTTGCCAGAGACAGAGTGGGGAGCAGAACAGGCAGATCTACTGAAATACACTGCTGAGGGGAGCAGTGGGTGGGTCAGGAGAGGTCTGCTGCGCCATGTGGTCACCTCCGGGGCGGGGATCGAACTCATGCTAAAGTGGCTGTAGCTTTTTGGTGCTGCATTTACCCACTTTGCCACCAAGAAGGGCCTTTACAGTACTATTTCTTAACCAGATCACCTATCTCAAAGAAAGAATCTCTCACATGTGAGAAGATCTTGTACTGCAAATGCCTCCTGAATTACAGTCACAGCTAAAACAAAAGCCATTGTGTAGTTTGCATTTTGTACAGAGAAGTACTTAAATAGGAGAATTTTTTTTTAATCTGAGAAGTTAATCTTTACATCTAAAATAAACATTTCTTTCCCACAGATGGTTGGTAAAGGCTTTTTCCTAGTTCAAACAAAGGAAGTGTCAATGAAAGCTGAGGATGCACAACGGGTTTTTCGAGAAAAAGCACCTGATTTCCTTCCTCTTCTGAACAAAGGTACCTTTGGGATAACTGGTATACTTTTGTGGTTATTCTCTTGATTTGATTTATTCTTACCTTTATCATCTCTCTTACATTTCTCCTCTTTCTCATTTGTTTTATGTTCGCTCCTATTACTATTCAGAAACATCAAAATTTTCACAACATTCAAAAAACCCTGTATTACTAGTAATTATTCATTAAAGGTTTTTTCCTATTTTCTTAGCACTTCAAAGTCACATTTTATTATTACGTGTTTTATCATATTATAATGAGGGAACATTTATTCTCCCTGCCCTGAGTTGCAAAGCACTTAATAAGGTTTCTTTTAGCCTGCAGTATGCTTTGACCCTACTGGAAAAAAAAGAAATATAAATGAAATGGCATACTATTTTATGTATTTAATATGACTGATTGAAAACTCCCTAAGCATAATTAAAATTGTTTTCCCCAATCACCAGTAAATTTCAGATATAAATATGTCTAAAAACAGAAGAACTGGTGTTCATATGCCTTCCAGACAGCAAACCTATATAGTATATAGGTGTACTGATTCTAAATGACAGAATTCTGTTTATCTTTCAGAGTTAGGCATCATTTGCTCAAGACTCATCAGGCTTTTCTTGACTGGCCTGAGCAAATATGTACAGTAATATGCAATGCTGAATGGGTATAGCCTAGACAAAGGTCACATCTGTATTTAAATGCTCTTTATAAATAAGCTGTAAGAAACTATACAGCCATGTATAAAAATATTGGAGTTAGAATAATTTTAATAGTTAATGCTGGTTGTAATTCAGCCATAATTCATATAGTATTTTATGTACCTTTGTAGTCACTATAGTAGTATCAAGGACTTGCTCCAACCCAGATTACCTAACAGGAAATTTGACCTGGCACCTTTGAAACAACATTTTGACATTGTAAGATTCTGATAGGACCTTGAAAACAAACCTTGAACTCTCAACAACTTTCAGAAATTGGATCTCATAATAAGTCCAATAAACACCTTAAAGTGTGAGGATTAGAGATGAAGTAAGCTTATGAGTAGGTCTAGACAATTTATGCACGCATTAATGTTGGTGAAGTGGTTTCATAGAACTGTTCCAACTTTAATATTGTAACTATTTAAGCAAAACAACATTTTATGTGGAAGAGTTAAAATGTTCTGTTCCAGAAAAAAAAAAAGTTGAACTAAAACCAATGGGCAGATGTTACAGGAATTTCAGCAAATAAGCATCATATAAACAGCTTTGCAAGCCAAAGATGACCATAGGAAGTACTCAAAGACTAATGAAGTCATGTCAAAAGATCACAGGAGCCAGCTTGATGGCATTTCCACTGGCCAAATTTTGGGAAATAAGAACATCAGAAAAAATAATGAAGGGAACTGATTTAACAATGACAGAAATCCATGTATCCATATAAATAATTAAAAGGGGAAAGAAGGGAATAAAGGAGAAATCTTTTGCTCTTTACAGAATACTGTAAGCTAATAAATGTAGAAGGAGTGGTAAACTTTGGAAATCACCATTTTCCCATTCCCAGTGTAATTAAGTCATATGATTATTTGTAGACATTTGAAGCAATTAGAGTAAAAATTACTAACAAATAGGTTATTAATACATTTTAATTCACAGGGGAAGTATACCTTTACAGCAGATACTCGGTAATCCACATTAACTGAGTTATCACATTTAGCATTTCTGATGGCTGGACAACCTGAGATTGTTATTTCTCCTGATACAATGCAGTAAGAAATACACAACATCACCTATGAAGTATTCTTGCCAACACTATTTTACCTGAATCTAATGGAGCCAAGACTTAATTTCTAATTTATAGAAAAGAAAGAACAGGGGCTCTAGGGACACATTAAATGACATTGTAAAAAAAAAAAAAAACACACAGCGAGTCAAATCTGAAATAGAAGATATTCACAAGAAAATTAGCCAGGATTCTCTGGACAGTGTCCTGGAAAGCCAACGAAAATGATGGGGAATTGTCCTGGATTAAAAGCAACATAACAGGACCTCTCTGGTGGCACAGGGGTTAAAGTCTCAGCACTATCAAGCACTATCAAGCAGCTACTACAACCTGAGTTTGATCTCCAGCCAGAGAGCTAATCCAGTGGCGCAGCAGACCTCTCCTGTCTTGCCTGCTGCTCCCCTAAGCACTCTATTTCAGCTGATCTGTCTGTTCTGCTTCTCAGTCTACCTCTGGTGAAGCCCCCCACCCCACTCCCTGCCCCACACCTCTGGCCTACACCCCAGTTCTTGTCTGAATAAATAAATAAATATATTTTTTTAAAAAAATGAAACTAAATGTAGCACATGAACCTTAATTGGATCTTGGATTGGGGTAAAGTGAGCTATAAAACAGTGAAAGATGTTTTGAGGAGAACTGGGGATATTTGAAGATGGCATTATTTAATTATCGTTAGTATGTGTAGGTATCACAGTGCTATTATGATCATGTAGGAGAGGCATGCTCAAGTATCATGAAATCTGCTGCTTTCAGATGGCTCAATAAAACTAAACATAGGTGTATGCACATTGATGGAATGTAGAGTGTGATGAAGCAAATGTGGACAAATACTAACATTTAATGGATGTAGGCAAGCAGATATTTAAGTTTTTTCATCTTTTATATGTTTGAAAACTTTCAAAATAAAAAGTTGGGAATATTCTAAACTGATCTATATTGCATTGACTGCTGTAGAATAGTGAGTAGGCTATCAATGGAAACATTCCAACAGCAGCTGGATGAATTATATATCCTCACCTAAAAGTGACCACCAGTAATTTTTTAAAGATTTATTTATTTATGCATACAGAACTGGGGTGCAGGCCAGGGGCACAGGGGCAGCGAGAGGCTTCACCAGAGACAGAGTGGGGAGCAGAACAGGCAGATCGATGAAGTACACTGCTGAGGGGAGCAGCCGGTGGGTCAGGGGAGGTCTGCCTCACAATGTGGATCACCTCAGGGCGGGATAGAACTCATGCTGAAGTAAGTGGCTTTAACTTCTGAGTGCTGCACTTTAACCCGCTGCGCACCAGGAGGGAGGGCCCCACCAATAATTTTAAGGAGGGTTTCTCAACCTCAGCACTATTGACATTTTAGAACAGATAATTAACTCTCTGTTGTGGGAGCTGTCCTGTATGTTTTTGAGGATGTTTAGCAGCATCCCTGGCTTTCATCCCTTGGTGCCAACAGCAGTCCCCTCAGTTGTGTCAGCCAGAAATGTTGTCAGATGTTGCCAAGTCTCCCATGGGGGACAGAATTGCTCCTAGTTGCAAACCACTATTCTGAGCTCAGAGTAGACTTGTTCTTTGGAAAATTCACTTTTATTTTAAATAGATAGTATCTCAGAGTCTCTACATTTTTCTTTTCAGGTAAAGTAGCCACAGTATTTATTTTCAGTTGACTGGGCTACCTGACTGCTTAGTGAGACAACTCATTGTGTTTTCCATATTGAGAATCTTTCAAACTTGACTACTCCTTAGAATCAAATATCTGAGCTAAAACCTGGAGTTTGCATTTTAAATAGTTCCCCAGGTAACTTATTATTATTGTTGTAGGCCACTATGTAGACTTGGGCTTCTATTCTGAATGAGATGAGAAGCTTCCATTTGTTAAATACAATTTTTTAATATTAGGATAATTTTAATACTTAACAATTGTTTTCATGTCTATATAGCTTTGTGGGTATGTTGCCATACCTCACATGTAGACATACTTTACTTAGCATCACCACAAATACATGGAACCTTCCAGTATCTGTCTCTCACTTTGTCTTAATTTCACTTAGCATAATCACCACATCAATTCATTTTGTCCCAAGAGGCACTATTTTGTCTTTTTTTTATATGAATTCTATACCACAGTCTCCTTATTCAGCTGTCAGTGGGCACATAGGTTGATTCCATAACGTGACTATTGTGGATGATAATGTTGCTATGGACACAGGAGTGCATAAATCTATTTTTTTTCAAACTCTTTGGGTAAATATCTAGCAGTGGTATTGCTAAATCATATGGAATTTCCATTTTAATTTTTTGAAAGAATCTCCATACTATTTTCCACAGAGGTTTCATCAAATTACATTCCCACAAATGGTGGATGTGTCTTCCTTTTCCTCCATATCCTCGCCAACATTTGTTGTTTGCATTCTTTTTGATGTAGGCCATTCTCTCAGACATGAGGGAATATTTCATTGTGATTTGGATTTGCATTTCCCTTAGAATAAATGATGCTGAACATTTTTTTTTTCATGTGTCTGTAGGCCATATGAATGACTGCTTTGAAGAATTATCTGTTTAGCTCTTTTGCCCATTTTTTGGTGGGTTTTTATTTTTTGTTGCTGTTAATAAGTTGCGTGAGTACTTTATATAACTTGGAAATGAACTTAGGTGTATGATGGGAAAGTATCTTCTCCTGTAGGTTGCCTTTGTATTTTTGTACCTTTTTACTTTGATATAGCCCCATTTATTTATTTTCACTTTTGTTATTCTTGCTATTAGTGACGCATACCAAATGTGTCTCTCTGATTGATAGCCATAAGTATACCACTGTGTTTCTTTTAAATATGTCATGATTTCAGGTCTTAAATCCAGATCTTTAAGCTATTTGTAATTAACTTTGTGTGTGGAGTTAAGTTAGGGCCTAGTCGGGGTTTTTTTGTTTTGGCTTGGTTTTTGGTTTGT